AAATATGTCAACTAATCAGCCCGGGATCTGCATACAACCCCCCTTTATGGGTGCGGTTTGACACATAAGGTTGTGTGACGTTTTGAAAATTATTGTTCATTGTCGGAAATCACGATTTATGACTTGATGATATTTAATCAACTATGTATGATCTCTTACTTAGAAATTGGTAGTGTCTTTCAAATATCACATAATGAAACCAGAACTCGGAATCCATTTCGCTCATATGTGCTGGGCATTAATGTAGGAAGCTAAGATTTAAAAACGTGGAAAATGGGGAATGTCTGCTGAAATATTCTGCAGTTATGGAAGAGCACAGGGAAACATACAGAGAGGCGATTAGCGTTCTGTAACTAGAGAAGAGTACGGGGAGACATACAGAGAGGCGATTAGCGTTCTGTAGCTAGAGAAGAGTACGGGGGACATGAAGAGAGGCGATTAGGATTCTGCAGCTAGAGAAGAGTACGGGGAGACATAACAGAGAGGCGATTAGGGTTCTGCAGCTAGAGAAGAGTACAGTGATATACAGAGAGGCGAGTAGGGTTCTGCAGTTAGAGAAGAGTACGGGGAGATATACAGAGAGGCGACTATGGTTCTGCAGCTAGAGAAGAGCACAAGGAGACATGCAGAGAGCCGATTAGCGTTGTGCAGCTGGAGAAGAGCATAGGGGTACATACAGAGAGGCGATTGGCATTCTTAGCTAGAGAAGAGTGCGGGGAGACATAACAGAGAGGCGATTAGGGTTCTGCAGCTAGAGAAGAGTACAGGGATATATACAGAGAGGCGAGTAGGTTTCTGCAGCTAGAGAAGAGTACAGGGAGACATGTGGAGCGGCATTTAGCATTCTGCAGCTAGAGGAGACCAGTGACAGATATACTAACAGATTGTTATCTTTCTGGAGATATAATACATCACAGAGAAACGTAGGTAAGGGCAATTAATATTATACAGTTAATGAACAATACAGACAGACATGTAAAAGTGCAATTAGCATTTTGCAGCTAAAGAACAGCTCAGACAGACATATGCTAAGATGCAATTAGCATTACGCCACTAGAATGCAGAAATATACATAACAAGGCAATTAGCATTCTAAAGTCCACATACACTCTGGATGTTACAAACTTACAATGTACTGGACTCCGAAGAGCCCCTGTTCCGCTATAATAATGTCTCTACGTTCATCATAATTTCATACACTACACGTACGATATACTGAACATATGATAAAATGAAATAATAATAATAATAATAATAATAATAATAATAAATTAATTGAAATTCCTCTCCTTCCGAAGGACTTCCTCAGTCCCTTCAGGCAAACAGACAAAGATGACAGGATGTCTAATTAAGGACAAGGATCGGCCCCCTTCCACATAATTTCACCATTCATTATTCACTTATCTTACCACTACTCGTCGCTGTAGAGTCTGAGCTGCTGATAGAGTTGGTAAATAAACAGTAAACAAATAAAAATAAAAAAATTATTTATTGGAGTAAATTATTTCTCGGGATAGTTTCATGGAGGTAGGCCTAGGCCCAAATTGGGGCTGTAGCGCCACAGGAAAAAAAATTATTTCTCAAGAATCAATAATCATTTAGCTATTGAGAAATTACTCTCCCTCTTTTTAACCCACAAAGTCTTTACCATGTTCACAAGAACCTGCATCTGTCCCACGTTTTGAGTTTATGAATCCCGCCCATAAATTCATAATCTATTTCTATTGGTCCCATTTATTATCGACCCAATTAATCCTAGGTCTTCCAAGAGGTCTCTGTCCTGTAGGTTTTCTGACCAATTTTTGTACGCATTTCTATCTCTTTCATCAGCGCTACATGTCCCGCCAATCGCACTATTTCTGATTTTATCAACCTATTCATTTGTGGCGAAGGCTCAGATAACGTAGTAATGTCATGTATTTCAATTTCGCGTATTGCAAGTCCTACGGTTCAAATACAACAACATCAACTTTACAGTTAGCAATTGAAGCATTGTGTCACGTACGAAACCCTCGTGTTACAATTCGTGCTTGCGAGAAAAGGAGTTGAAAGTTTAGCGAAGATAAGGTAACTGCGAATAATTTCACTGCTGGTCGACGCGCAGTGCTAAATGAGCACCGCGGCAAACTTTACTCCATTTAGTCCTGGAAGCCTCGTAGTTTTTCTTGTATTTATACTAATTCACACAGTCACCTCAAATTCTTCTCATTTTCTGCTCTTACTGCACATCGCTTATTATATTTCCCTGGCTTCGTTTCGTGTGTTATTATTATTATTATTATTATTATTATCATCACTATTATTATTGTTATCTTTGTACTACTGTATAAGGGGAGCAGGGGCAGAGTAGTCGGTTTAGCAACTAGCTACTTGCTGAACGACCGAGGGGTCAGAGTTCGAATCCTGGTAGGGTCAAGAATTTTCTCTTCTCCCCGCCTTCCAGACCGGATCTGTGCCCCAGGCAGACTCCTATCCAATGGGTACCGGGGGCTCTTTCCCCGGGTTTAAACCGGCCTAGTAGTGAAGCTGACCACTCATCTCCAGCTAGTGCCGAGGTCAAGAAAATGTGGATATATACATCCACTCCCCCATAAGCCTTCGTGGCGTAGTGCTTGCTATGCTGTTATAAAAGAACTGTTGTGCAGAAAGAAATCAATACACGTACCTGATAATTTAATGTTGGTCATATTCTATGTGTGATTATATTTGTCTATGTGTGTGTGTAATCGTTAAAATTGTGTCTGTGAAGTTTAAAGCCTGTCTTTGAAAATTTCTTTGAAGTAAAACAGATGTATTTGTAGAATGTGAATGGTCACATTGTAAGTGACAACTCAAAATGCACCTTCTTCAGTAAACGATTTGTCATCACTGGCGTCAACAAGTCTGAGCTTTACCATTGATCACTGTCACCGTGTGCTGTCCAACGTAAAAACAACATTACTCACGTCCAGCACAAAATTAATCAACTTTTAAATGTTTCTGGTAACCATTCAGTATTATATAAAAGGTGAAAATTCTAACAGTGTTAATTTGGATCAAATATGAAAAGTCAAGGTGATTTATTGATAAATTATAAACGAAAGTCGGAAATTGTATTGTACTCTCATTTGCTTCAGAACTCCATTCGTAACTTGGAAGAAATTAAACACATCATTAGTGTTAAATTAGGAAAATAAAGTTATCCCTGTAACAGGCCGTGAAGGCCCGTAGGGTTGTGCGAGGTTGAGGCTCCCACATTTTCTAGACAATCGGCTCACAGATGGAGTTGAGGTGGTCAGCCTTATGAGCCAGCCGCCTTTTACCCCCCAGGAAGATTCCTGGTACTCATTTCTTTTAGAGGCTGAGTCGTCTCCAGGGCCATCATGTTAAATTAGTACAGTTAATTAATTTGGAACCAGCAAGACGTGTCGTGTGTGAAGGGACGTCTGTCAGTATTCCTTCATAAGGGAGAGTTGTAAGTGTAGCATAACCATTTTGACGCCATTGTTCAGAACAAACTCCATGGTTTCAGTCCACATGCGAACTCTACCGACCAAACCGCCCGCCGCTTGTCGGCGAAGTTAATGACAGATTTACCGGGTTGAGGGTGTCGCGTTTTCATCGCAACGAATCCCCACGGCCGTTAATTTCTGTTTTGTAGACCTGAGCCGCTATTTCCTTGAAATAGCTGCTCAATGACGCCTTTGTTCTCATGTTTTTAATTATTTCGAAAATCGTATGGATAAATGTGCTGATTATGAAATATTTGTGTTTCATATAGCTCTACGCCGTTTGTTTGAAGTACTTCTGATCCGAAATATCTTTATAGTAGTTTACCCTCAAGGTACGAGCAGAAGCGTATGCAGGCCTCCACGTAAAATTGGAAATTTTACCAAAGTTATTGAAAATCTCCAAAGTCCGTTTTCGATTAAAATCCTGTCAGAGGTTATCGAGTTGTTACATTCTGACAGACAGACAGACAGAGAAGCAGATAAAGAGAGAGATACATGGTAGCTTATAGGCATATTTTTGCAACTTTATGTTGAAAGCGATCTAAAAATGACTGATAAATAATGGTTCGTTATGACTTGATTCTCAGCTGTAGCTGATGCAAGTGAAACAGAGGCTGAGGACTGCATGATTTTGGCAACAGTTGCCTTATTGATAGTGGAAATAAGGGACTGATATTTCCATTATTTGACATTAATAACACATTTGTCAGTAACAATGAAAAACAAATGTACGGCTATAAGCTACCATTTTCTGGTGTTCTTTGTAAGGAATTAATGATATCAAGAAAATGTACTAGGTTGTGTGTGATTTATCTTTGATCTGTTCACTGGTTATAACTCAAAGGATACTGATTGATTTTGTGATTAAATTTAACTGTACAATTTAACGCTATGTATAACATGAAATCCTGTATTAATTCTANGTCCTAGTGACCCGGATATCTATGCTGGCGGGAGCGTGAGCTCCTGGTAGAACCACCCATGCCAGAAAGGTCAAAGGGTAGGGGCCAGACGAAATGTAAGTCCTGATCCTCCAAGTTTGGGTTTTGGGCGTTGGGCTAACGATCCTAAGACGGAAAAAATCCACTGTCATGGCGCCAGTAAACAATAATAATAATAATAATAATAATATGATGGAGCAGGAAAAAGCACTGAATAAGGACGCTTACCACACAGACAAACTTTTAAGTTCACAGGTACATGGTTGTTTATACATTCGTGGGAAAATATAAAAAATTATGACAATCGAGACAATATTAGGCATTTTAATACGTGGGTGTGGAAATGTAAGGGATAAAAACCGTGCTGCAAGACAAGCCCTGATGGCAATTAAATACAATTAAAACGCGTCTGTATTACTGCACAGTAAAAGGAAGTGACGGAAAGCTGGAGAGTTTACATTTCGAGCAAAATGCAAGACGGAGATATTACTGTTAGTTAGAGGTGACCATTTTGTGTATTGCATCCCCACCTACCAATGACTCTTCCTCTATTAACAGTTCTCTTTACTACAATTGAGTTATGCAGAGAGACTGCAGACGAAGACAATGCAGCGATAGCTCCAATGTTGTCACAATGCCGTCACAGTTCTCCCTCCTCCAACTTGGTTCTCCTTTAGGTAAATCAGTGCAGCACTGAAGACGTGCCTTCGGCGTTCTTAGCACTGCACTCTAGGTTTCTTAACGGCATACTTTCAGCGAGTTTTCAGGACGGCACAGTCATGAAGTGAGTTCGTGCGTTGTGGACAGAATTTACGGCAGGAACGTCCAATTCATGGCTCTCAGTCTGCGCGCGCAGAACAATATCACTCTTATAGGCAATATGCATACGAGAATTATTTCGGAACACAAGTTCTCATTGAAATATATGGAAAGTAACTGCATCAGTATCTTTGTAAGTTTAATTTGTTTTCATGTTAATCATTCAATTTCTTATTTTGTTTGCACTTACAAATTAAACATATCTCTAAGAGATATAAAGCTTGCTGCTTTCCATAATCATTGAAATACTGGAGACATGTCTGAAGCTAAACCTCCGTGTTGTGAAATGATACTTATCTCGCCCAACCGCTCTTGCTGGAGTATTATAACATTCCAGAAATGTTTTCAGACAACATCGAATTATCTATATTACGAAAATTAATTAATTCATGACTGGTTTTCTTTTTAAATTTCCAGAAATATTATGCAAGCAACTGTGATTCATTCTGAAAATTATATAATCTTGTTTTTAGATATCCTAACACGTTCAGAGAACCACATACATTTGTTACTCATATGACGTCACACACGCTACTACTTGCAAACCGTGATCCACTCCTCAACCGTGCAGTTCTGGCACACGACGTAGCAGCACCAGTGGAACCGGCAATGGCAGCGGTCGGTTTTTCGTTGCTTGATGACGTTGTATCCGCGGCCGCAGCAGAGGGAGCCACAGCCGTCGACGCCGGTGCTAGTGCGGTTACACTGTCGCCCGGACGTACCCGGGAAGTCCACATTAGGATCTTTTTCGCAGAAGTTAGGGGAACGCTGGTAGTACAGAAGGTCCAGTGCTAAGTCTCTGGGACGGCGTAGCCGAGTTCGTCTCCTCGGCCTGGGTCTCTGTCTTGGACGGGGACGTCGCCGACGCAGCCCGTCCAGAAGAAAGGGGGAGCCATTCCCTAAGTTGGACTGATCCACCAGAACGGCTGATCGAAACCTCTCTTTGAGTGCCTCTCCAACAATTCGAAACTCAGGCGCTGCCTTCCAACAAGTCTTTAATTCACAACTTCCGGACATCCCGTGACATTTGCAGCGAACTTGCATGTTGGTTGCCACAGCCTGAAACATTCAACGGTGTGTCAATCATTCGAGTTTCCCTAATCAGGACTGTCTGCTATAGTTCAGGACACATTACTTTGAATAACTGAACGATAACTGCATGATACAGACTTTGTCAGCCTACGTTTTTGTTTTCAGGTTTCATGCATCTGCCTGGATCCACCGTTAGTTCTACAACTACAATTCGTTTACATATTTTGTAGAACTCGGTCAATCGCAAGGGCTCTACAACTAGACATAATATAAGACAGTACATAAAGACAAGATGCCCAGATATACGTTCATATCAATAACCCAACCGCAATTCGATACAGCATCCCAGTGTTCCCGTTGTCCAAACCCGTACGCTCCATAGGCCGACCGATTTTCCTGATTTTCTTGTTAGGAAGGAGAGGCATAGCATTTTTTTTTGGTGGGGCGTTCTGTATGTCTGTTTCTACAGCTTCTTATCCAACAGTTTGCTACCGAGTATGGTATGAATATCATGTCATTAGAATTCACCCCGCAATGCACTCTAATTGCTTTCGATCGGTAATGCAGAATCTGTTTTAATGCTAACATCTGATACATCAGGGAGCACTTCTATCGAAGATCGATAACAATTGTGTTAACCGTCTTATTACACCAGGACTCAGACTGAAATATTCAGGATTTGCTATAGTCCGTATTATCCTAAGCGGAGAAATTGTGAACATATATAATTTTTACCGTGAACGCAACAATATTTTATTATTTATTTATTAATATAGCACGCACTACATGGTTCGACCTCAAATGGGTCATCTTCTGGTGCTGCAAACTTCTCACATACTATTACCGAACTGCAACGTTAACATTCCAATTTTTCTAAATGGTTCATACAAGTTACTTTTTTTCAATTCATGATGGGAATGCTAGCGTTGCAGTTGGTAATAGTATGTGAGCAACTTGCAGCACTTGAAGATGACACATTTGAAGTCGAAACATGTAGTGCATGCTATATTAATAAATAAATAAATATATATTAATTTTTTGTTTCGTTGACGGTAAAAATTTTATATGTTCACTCTATATATGCAATAGGATGCAATCCTTAAAAATACAAATACTGAGAAATTGTGTTAATTTCATACACACGAAATGTGACACAGCACTGAGACATACGTAGAATGAATATGAGAGCACGTTTCGAAAAATTTAGCGGGCACTGAATCTAGTTTCTAGCATTCATGCCATTTGTAGGAATTGAGCTGAGCTCCTACCTTCTGATATTTCAGAATGCGAGCGTAAGTTTATTTTTCAGTATAGGCCCCTCGTTAATGTGCGAAATCTAACCATCGGGTTTTCGTGTGCAAAATAACAATGTTTTTTAAAACTTCAAAGCAATTCCCCGTAGTTTGACGGCGACGAATAATTCAAAGTACACATTTAATTCAGGTTTACTGCCTTCGAGATAGTAGGCCTACATTTAAATAGGCCACGATCGTCTCGTTTATGAACTTTCCCATTAACAGTTCACGACCATCTTATCAGATTAATTATAATTTTTAATTTTTTAAAATTTTCCTCATAGGGTGATACTTGTTACTACGGCCACTGTTTGGCTATTGTACCAACCCCGGATGATAGATAATGATGATTGTGGAGCAGTCGGTGGAATGCAAATTGACAGAGGAAACCGAAGTATTCGGAGAAAACTGCCCCAGGTCCACTTTGACCACCATAATTCCCACATGACCTGACCCTGGCTCGAACCCGGGCTGCCGCTGTGGGAATTCGGTGACTAACTGCTTGAGCTGTGACACGGCCATCTTCTCAGCTTACTCGATGCTATTGTACCCATGTAAAAAGTTAAAGCTACCCCTGTAACAGGCCGTGGAAGCTCGTAGGATTGTGAGACGCCGTGGCTCCCACGTTATCTAGACAATGGACTAAAAGATGGCGGTTAGTTTGTCAGCTTGACTCGCCGGCTCGCCACTCACTCCTAGGAAGATTCCTGGTACTCATTTCTGATAGAAGTTGAGTCGACCCCAAGGCCATAATGCGGCTGAAAGTATTGGGTAAATTGAAAAAGAATCCAATCCAAGAATCCAATCCGCGACCTTGTGGCTTGTAGCATAATGTCTCAACCAACTACGCTACCGCTTGTGTATCCATTTATACCCACGTAGTTAAATCGTACTGATAAATAACATAAGAATGAAGACTCAATACATGAGAAATAATTAGTTTTATGTAGAGCAAAGAGATATTTTGTCGTGGAAGTTCACTAAATGTGCAAGTTTTGATTTCGAACTGATTGTGACCTTGCTGTTACAAGACACACATAGTATAAATTATGGTTCCGTTACGATCATGTCGACGTGTGCATGGCTCTTCGTCAGCGACATCACGGCAGGTAGCTCAGAAGTATAATCCATTATTTCGAAGCTGTGGATAAATCTTCTAGCATATGGGTATAAATTACATGTAGACATTTCTTTAGTGCTTTTAAGATGACAAAACAAGTTGCACGGAAAACTGCAAGGTTAAGGCTCCCTGTTAAGATTGCTCCAAAATTGAGTGCTTACTGAGGCAAAGGGTGACCTTGTATTCCTTGGAAAATTATAGTTATCTTCAAACTTCTCACGGGAAAAATTAACCGTCAATGTCAGTTCTGTTTAGATGCCTGCATGTGCTGTAGAAACGAACTACCATCTCTCATATATATAAATTTATTCCAAACGGGTTATTTTTGAGCCCTCAGAGTGCCTTATATGCATGACAGCAGTGAAGGATAAGTTGCCTACATACACGGGGAAGTGCAGAATCTTCTTTGAATTAAAAACATTTTATTATTTTGTGGGTTATTTAAGACACTCTCAGTACCTAGACAATATAACGCCTGATGACAGGATGACTCATGAATTGAAAATGATTTGGAGGAAAATAGTCGTGACATAATCGAATTGCTATCGTGGCTTAGGCCTGGTGGTTCTGTGAAAAACTATGATGAATTTCAGTCAGGATGCAAGCTTACCACCTGCTTCACGATGGTAGCTTTCTCTGTTTATTCAACCCTAAAATTTGAGGAGATATATTTCTCCGAAACGTCGGTTGACTTTCAACAGACTACACGGCCTTATGTCTCAGAAGACAGTAATCTTTATAACGATCGCTCTGAGAACCTGAAATCCTACAGCGAATTTTCTTTTCACAAAATTCAGACCTGTTGTGGGCTAGCCCAACTTGCTGTCCAGTGGATACCGGGTTCTCCTTCTGAGAAGTAAAACGGCCGGGGTGTGAATCTGACTAATCCCAACGGGACAACTTCATTAATTACTACGCCTTGAATAATTGTGTGAGGTAAATATTCGCGCGTTTCTAACTTCTGTATTGGACAGAGATGAGTTTCCAGATTCACATTTCATTAATCTTTTCTGTCGAAAATAGAAACTGTGACTGTGCTATCAGTCAGACAAAGCTGAGTGGTCTCCAGAGAGAACGCGACGTTGCAACGCAAGGAAATATTCATTCCCTGCAGGAATTTTCACTCTTGTCGCCCAGTTCCTAACCGGTCGCTCTACTTTTCGAAGTATCATAATTGTTATCATTGCTGCTCTTATTAAATAAATAAGTTACTTGCAGTGAAATCTAGATAATCCGAACCCACATTAATCCGATCTGACTTACACTGCCACAGAAGAGAGTCAGCATCTTACGAAAGTTAAGAATTTAATCTAATTATATTACTTCCTTGCAGTAGAAATTAATTCTTGCGAAAAGTAATGTGACATGTAGACCCATTGATAGGAAACGAGACGATAAACATGTTTCCNGTTTTAACCTACGTTTCGGAGGAACATCGGTTAAAACCAAGAATACACGGCGCCAGATCCCAGAAGACAATTTTCTTCATGGATTTCTTTTGTTTAAATTTCAGTACTCGGAAGGTTTCAGTAGTCCGAACACAGGAATGTTTTAATTGTTTCGAATTATTGAGGCCGATTTGTAATTAGTAGTATTTACTCTGTTCTGTTGTACTCTATTATGGCTCTGCAACCCCTTTTTATGCCTTGGTCTCTTTTTCAGTTTCTTAATCTATACACAGTCGGTAGGACTCCTTAGACTAGTAATTTTCCCGTCACATGGCCGCTACCTACACACAGGACAGCACAAACAGAATAAAAACACATAGACATCCATGCCTGGAGTGAGATTCGAACCCACGACCCACGCATTTGAGCGGGTGAAGACAATTCATGCCTTAGACCACGCGGCCACTGAGGTCGACTGTCTAGAATTGCACTCAAATTATAGATTAAGGAGCCTGTCCGAGTCCTGTTGTAGCTTGAAATTACTCTGTTATTAGCACGTGCCGTAATGTGATGACTGATGACTATTCCATCATTAACTAACAGAGTTCTCTTAGAGTATTGTACCTTACATCTATTACCGTTCTGCTGAGCTGTAATCGGTGCCTACCTTACTATATATTTTATATGAGAATCACCTTTACTATTTCCTATAAACATTTATACAGATGCATAACAACAAAACAACACTGAATTAGGACACGATCATTTCCTTCCACATCCTTGCGTGCTCTAAACAAAGGGACGTAACACTCCATTAACATGAAAACTTTTCACAAGCGTTGGAGAATATCAAGTGTTTAGACAAATACAGTTAATATCCTAGTAATAAGCTTGTAAAATTAAATCAGTCCGGCATAATTACTATTTTTTCTGAATTGATAATATTTTCGCATTTTAAAGAAACTGTTGATTTGTACTCGATCCTAAAGGGTTCTTGCAATGGTATATGACGCTCAATATTACTGGGTTTTTGGACTTTCTCCAATATCCGGTATTATAGAGGCTAGGAAGCATGACGTTTCGGAAACTGGAATTTTTTCTGTTCTCAGGTGTAGGAGGAAATGCATCTACTCAGTTGGGTCCCTTAGAAAGAGCGGGTCCAGTGATCGAGTTTAACTCTTTCTAAGGGACCTAACTGAGTAGGTGTCTTCCCCTCCTCGCCCG